AGCTGCTGCAGCAGGTGCAGCAGCAGGAGGATGCGGGATAGCAGCAGCAGCAGCTGCTGCTGGTGCTGGTGCTGGTGCTGCAGTTGAAAGAGCAGCAAAAGCAGCAGCAGCAACAGCAGCAGCAGCACGTGTTTTTCCTTAAGTAAGTGCTGCTGCTGCAGCAACGTTTGCTAGTATAGAAGCTGCAGCAGCAGCTTCATCGTTATTTTGTTTTTATTATTTACAACAACAAAAAATAATTATTTTTTATTTATATTATTATTTTTTTTTTTGTTTTTTTTTTGTTTCACATTACTATAATATATTATATTAAATAATAATAAAAATAATAAATAATAGAAACAATAAAAAATAAAAAATAAAAATAAAAATAAAAAATAAAAAAAAAAATAATAAATAATAATAATAAAGAATCATAAAAATAATAAATAAAATAAAAATATAAAATAAAAAAAAAGAAGAATTGTGTTTATAGTATTTAATATTAATATATTAAAAAATAAAAACAGAAACAAAAACAAAATAATTATAGTAATTGTTATTTTTATATAGGGTTTAGGGTTTAGGGTTTAGGGTTTAGGGTTTATAATAATAATAATTATTATTATTATTATACAGGGTTTAGGGTTTACGGTTTAGGGTTTATAATAATAATAATTATTTTTATATAGGGTTCAAGGTTTAGGGTTTATAATAATAATTATTATTATCATCATTATGTAGGGTTTAGGGTTTAGGGTTTAGGGTTTAGCGTTTAGGGTTTAGGGTTTATAATATGAATAAATTTATATTGCTTATGCTCTTTACTAATAATAATTTTTATTATATTTACTATATTTGTTTTATTTATTTTATTTATTATATTTATTTTATTTGTTATATATTATATTTATTTTATTCATTTTATTTATTTTATATATTTTATTTATTTTATTTATTTTATTTATTTTATTTATTTCTATTTCCTATTCTATAAATAAAACAAATAAAAACAGCAACAATAAAAAATAAAAACAAAAAAATATAAAAAATAAAAACACAAATAAATAAATAAATAAATAAATTATAATCA